TTGTAGTCAGTGCCAGATACGGAACATATTATACACAAAAACTATTAAGAAAAGAATGATGAAATTCAAATAGTTTGGGGCTAGATGTACAAGACCCCAGCTTCAATCCTCAGTACCACAAACAAGCAAAACCCTATCTCTGGCAAATAGTGTATTTCTGTTTAGTTTCTATCAAATGTTTCTTGACAGCTTAGTCTGCTCATAAGAATTTATGAGATACTGATAGCAGTGTCTAATAGGAGAGAAGGGGGTTGTCCAAAGGGAAAGCATGCTGTTCTTTCTATTCTAAGCAATTCATATTCTGTTTGGAGAGGAAAAATGTGGATAAATTAAGAAAGCAAAAAGATGTGACCATCAATAATCAAGTTGTAAAGAAGAAGTCTGTAAAAGGTGGGCTGGGGGATGGAGAATTCATTATTATGGAGAATTTCATTTCTCCAGTAATAATAGAAGCTCACCTTGAACATCTATTGTCAGGGGTTTTAGGTACATCGTTTCTAAAATTAAGAAAACCATAATAATAGTATGAAGTAATTTGGGCCTAGAATCTCTGGCTTTTCTATTCTGTTTCTATACATGTAATCCATAATTCTCTGACTAAAGTAGAAAAAAAGAAGTTTTAAACATACTTCAAAGCTAAGCATTAAACTAATTAGCACAGATCTACCTGTTAAGTTCTAAAAGCATCAACAGAAGTTATATGGTAATTCGATGAAAAAGAATAATGGGCAATATGAATCCTCATTATGAGTCTCAGCAACTAATACTGCACTCACACTGGAAGCAGAGGTCACACAGAGATGCTACAAAATAGCATCCTGTCTCAAGGCAAGTTATAATTAGAACCGTATCAGTGAAAGACTTGAAGTGGGAAGTGGGGGGGTACCTACTACCACATGATCCCCCCCTCATTCAAATAGCATGTCTGTTCTAATCTTATTTATTTCACATGGTAGAGCACTTCATTTGTACAAGGTTATCTTCAGCTTAAACAATGCTTTGAGAACCACGCTACCATTCTAAATATAATTGGTAAATTCTAAAAAGACAACCTTGTGCTTTATACTATATTAATTATTCTCTTAGATAGAAGATAAATGTAGATTAGAATAGTCAGAATTCTTTTAAAGAATAAAATGTTGCTAGTTATAGAATGACTCAAATCAGAGAATGCTAATTAGCTGTGAATGAATGGAGTTAAGACAAACACCTGTGTATGCTATTTTTTTGTGTGTGGGTAGTAAATGAAAGGATTATAATTTCTATGCCAAATAAAAGCCTCCCAGATTATAATTCCATTTTAGGGATGAAAGATTACCTTAGAATGATTATTATATAAGTAATTATAAATTATTAAAAGGTAAACACACATTATCAATAGCAAAAAAATATAGCTTTAAAATATACAAATCTAACCAACGTCACTTTCCTAGGTAGAATACTGAGAATTTTTGCATAGATTTGTATTTGCTTACATGAATGAAATATATATAAAGTTTTGGTTTCCAATAACAAAACATTTGTGCCACAAACAAGGTACTGAATATTATAATATTCAAAT